CCAGAGGAAACTCAAACTTTTAAGCTTTTCCCATAGGTTCTCTCTTTTTTTTTTTTTTTTTTTTTTTTTTTTTTTTTTTTTTTTTTTTTTAACACAAGTCATGTTTTGTATCTGGGCCTCTTCAAACAGAAAACTAAGAACACTACTATTATAAATACTACTTGACAATTTTTTTTTTCTTTCCTCTTGCAGATGAGAACTCTCCAGCCAATTTTTGGGATTCCAAGAATCGGGGAGTGACTGGCACGCAAAAAGGACAAATTGTATGGCGAATTGAACCTGGCCCCTATTTTATGGAATGTGAGTACCTATTTATCCAATGCTTATCTGAAGGTGAGCATGCTCAATGCAGATCAACGCGATGGCATTTGATATCCATTTTGTCAATCCCTCTGACAAGCCAAAGGAATTGATTGTATTGCTCTAAGGGGCAGCATTTCCCAGTGTGTTTGGACACTATAAAAGTGGACTTGAGCTTAGATGTACATTTGCATTCTAAGGACGTCCTTAGACAGCATGCTTCTTTTAAGGGAGGAAGGAATTGCCTTGTGCAATGTCGTATAGTATATATGCATTGAAAGATGAAGTCCCTTCCCAATAAGTTTGAAGTTTCAGCTGGCCAAAGATGAATGGTAAATGCATATAAAGGACAAGGTAGTAAGCTAGTATCTTGGTAGTGTTTGTTAGTATGAAGGTTAGATTTGTCTCTAGGAAGTGGCAGCCTCCTGTCCAGTTGCATCAGGGTTTCTCAGCTGAAGTTTCGTAGCGTTGGGAAATCCACTAAGCAGTTTTTTGGTATTGAGAGTCCCTAAGTGACTGGAACAAAAAGTCTTCAGTTGAACTCTGTTAGGAGTATTGGTAGCCAAGCTTCAAATGCGAGAGCTATGCCACTCCCTTAGGCGACCAGGATTTGTAGGAAGTTAAGCCACTGGACTGTGTGCTTTTTTAAAATAGGTTTATTATTTTTTCCTTTGTTTTTTCTTGCTTTTTGGTGAAAAGGAGCTCTCTTACCATCTAAAGCATATGATCCCCTAAAGAAATTGGTGTTCTAATCCTAGGATGTTGTATCTGAGCTTGCTGAAAACTCTGATATGCCAAGCATCAAAGTGGCAATCAGTCCCAAAAGAGCTCTGAGCTGCTCTACCACCTGTTTAGCCTCACAGCAATGAATCTTCCTTCATAAATTTAAAAAAAAAAATGCTCCCACTCTATTACTTCACTGTACAGTGCAGTGTTGCTAACTGTAGGTCTTGGCAGAAATTTTTATTCTAATTAACTGATATAACAGCAATACATGCATTTCAAGAGGTGTTGTATACCCTGTACTATAAATAATTATTAAAATTTTTTATTTCTAGAACTCATCATCGAATCCTGCCAACTTACTCTATGAGTTATGCAGCACATTTCTGTTAACAACATGAAAGCTTTACTAGGATAAAATTAAGTTCGTTAGGAGTTCATTACGGGAAGAAATGATTGAACTGAAGATAAGGATCAAGTTAATTAACTTTGATGGTGCCAGAGACAGTGGCATATTAAAGCAGATAAAAATGTTATGTTAGAACAGTTCATTGCCTTATCTGTTTTATACATATACTCTATTAGTATTATTGCCAATATGGGCAGTTTGACTTCAAGGATGTTTGTGTATTTTAGCTGGTTATGTGTTGCTCCATAATGCATGGAGATGAGGGCCTTGAACAACATTTTTAGTTCATGTGAGTAACTTAGGCTTATGCTTCAAGAACTAGTAGTTTTGACTTAAAATCAGCTGCAACTGACTTTGCACTTTGCAACCAACTGACAGAAAGAGGGAAGGATATATGTTCTTTGCTTGTCATTGGCTTTACTAATGCTGCCATACAATGAACAAGAGACAAGCAATTATGCAGCAACTGAGAACTGTAAAAAGGAATGTTTATGAGCATATGTTGCTATAGCACATAGTATGGCAGATAAATATGTCACCAGTGACACTTGTGTTTCTAGTGAGAGGCCAAAAATTACACTGAAACACTTAAATGAATGTCAAATTCCACTTTTTAAACTAGAAGGCACCATTGATATGTGACCGTATTTTCTCAGCCAGGCTTTTTCTTGTAGCTTATAGGTGGCGAGGTCACTCTTGATGCAACTACAGGCAGTTGCTCTTTTTTTCCCCATTTTTTTTCTTTTTTTTTTTTTTTTAATTCCACAGCTCAGGCAAGAGCAGCAGGTGGCTGCACAGTTCAGGTACAACCACAGTGTTCCTGCCTCTGCCGTGCGGGAAGAGCTGGGCTGTCAGGGTTCTCACTGTGCTCTGCAGACAGTGACACTGCCCAGCCTGTGCCAGCCACGGGGACAGACTCCGCTCCCCTGTGAGCCTCTTTCTTCTGCCACAGTGCTGATACAGTTTGTACTCTCCCTGTAGGGCTGCGTGTAATGCCACTCCATAGCAAGGGAGCAAGGGGGAGAGGCTAACATCCCCAGTAAGTATGTGCCTGATGATTGAAGTTAAGGTGTCTCTGATGCTTTAACATGCCATTGTTTTCCAAATTTTGGAAAGGACTCTACAGTTCTACATTTCTTGTGTTTAGAAATACCTTTGCTAAGAGGCAGAATATATCAGATAGAGGCCATGGTATTAGGAGTTTGTCATATTTACTCCTCACAGTAATGACATGCAGCAGACCATTACCAACTTGACCGTGGTTCTCTAGGAATGAAAGGAACAAGTGGGGAGCATTCCCAGATTCAGCAGCAACGTCCCCAAATTTTTACAGCAGCAGTTCCAATAAGTGGCAACAAGGTCTGGGGAAGCAGCATGGACAAAATGTGTAAATGGATCAGTCTAAACTCAGCTGGAGACTAATCACAGCACAGGAACGCTGTTTGCATCCAACCTCCTGCTCTTAACTGGGGTCAACTCTTGACGTGGTCAGCTGTGGTTTGAAAATCACAGTATTGAAAACCTTCAAGGACAGAGATGTCACATGTGCTGTAGGTAACCTTTTCCAGTGTTGCGCTATTGTTCCAGCCAAAAAGATTTCTCTGGCATCCAACCTGAATGGCAAAAGCTTAAATTTGGAGCCATTGCCCCTTTTAAAATCCTCTCATAGTATTGGAAAGAGTTGAGTTTATAATATTTGTCTTGCTTTAACTTCCTCTTCACTAGACAAAGCAAGGCCAGCTCCTTCAGCCTCTTCTCATAGGTCACATTTTTTCCATCCCAACCATCTTTGTAGTCCTGTGCCTGTTCCCTCTTCATCCTCTTGAACCTAGGGGTCCAAAACCAGGCACAATATTTCTCACCAGTATGAAGTAGAGGGGGGCAGTAAATTCTAACTGTCTGCTATACCTGTACGATTGGCAGACTCCTTGCTCTTGTAAACAGAGTTAATACGCTAAATAATTACAATAATCCTTTACGATTTCCAGTCAAAGCTGGCCTGAAGTTGTCTGACTTTTTGGCAAGAAAAGGAACAGAGGTTACTGATGTTGAACAATGAGTGGAGATCAGTCAGCAGGCACATTATCCAAAAGGCTTTGATTGTGGTTTTTCCCTAGCAGTGTCAGAGCTTAGGGACATCACATATCTTTTCACCAGTAAGGTAACCTCTCTGAAGGGCAAAGTGCAGAGGATGATAGCACTGCTAACAAGCCATGTGCAAACAAATCTCCTGCAGAAGTATTTCCATTTTAATTGCATTAATGTTAATCAGTGTGAGTCAGCTGGATTGGGCCTCAGATTCCTTCTGTGGGCCAGATTTATATCTTTTAAGAAAAGCATCTTATGCCTTAATTTGGGAAGATGTTTTTCCATGAGCATAATTGTAAACTTATTGATAGTTTCACTGAGGTCTGTGGAATTTATGCTTATGTTTGAAGGTAGGCTTTGGATAAGCATTTTTCTGAATTTTACATTACTGTGTTTCTGCAGTCTTGTAACTCAATTTTCTATTCATTCCATTTATCTATCCATATCCATTTTTCTATCCATATCCATTATTGTCCCTGTGGATTCAGCATCTCCTATTTTCCAAGCAAGTAACATATAAAGGCATAGTTTGCCATCTGCTCTATTCAGATCAAGTAACCTGCTGAAAGAAGGGCAGGGAGAGTCTCACCATCTTCATACTAAAAACAGACATTAATTCCCCCCCCCCCAGCATACAAAATTAGCAAAACAAGGATGATCAAAGAAAACTCACTTGCTTTAGACAAAAATCAACACCAAAAATTCTGTAGACTCTACCCTGAGAAGGGAGAATCAAAGGAATCAACAGTGAAATAATGAGAAATGAGCTTAATGTATTCCAGAGATAGAAGCAGCCTCTGGGGTGGGCGGAAGAGTATGCAAAGGAGAAAGAAAGAAAGAAAATACTTGCAACCTACGAAGTCCAGCTCACCATCACAAACAGCTGGTGTCGTTAAGCTGTCACCTCAAGACAAAGTGAGTGCCTCTGAACCGAAGAGCCAGCCAGTACAGAGGCAGGTGTTCCTCTTTCTTTTCCCTGGAGAAGGAGCAGGAATGCTATGTAAGCATGAAAAGGAACTCAGCCATTTTAGAGATTCAAGAAGGTGAATTTGAGCATCAATATGCCTAAGATGCTGTTTCCTTACATTGTAGAGGTGGCTTTAAAACATCCAGCTCTGAGGCTTGCTAAAACGTGGGGGAAGGAAAACAATGACTCACTAGGTGGCTCCCTCAAGTTGTTTTGCTGTGTAAACTACAGAAGAGTTCTTATACTTGGCTGCAGCGCTACAAACAGTTTTTGTCCTTCTCCTGTAAAAGGAAACAACAAGTTCAAGGAGCATTATTCTGAACAGGTGACAATAGTGTGATGGTGCAACACAGCTTAATGCTTTTGCGTTTGATATGATCATCTGGTATTTAGCATGGCATCAGACTGTTCAGTCCCTAAGTACGTCATGAGCTTTAGTCTCTGGTGCAAGGGGAGGCTGCAGTTGCCCCAGGAGTGATTTTTAGATGATGGAGTGTTTCTATGGGTGTAGCAGTTTGTGGCAGGGGCATCATGGTGGAACAGAGACGATGGCATTCCTTATGGAGAACAGAGCTAGCAGAAAGATGGAATGAAATGATCCATGGAAAGGCCGGTGATAGAAAAATCACGTGAAAGAAAGCTTGAGTTTTATGAAGAGTAGTTGATAAAAGCTGCCACTCATTTATAAACTGTGGCTTCTAAATAAGTTTTTACAGTATGGGGAAGGACAGGTCATGTTGGAGGTGCCATGGGAGGGAGATTCAGTATAATACAGTCACTCTCATGCAACAGGTAACTGGTGCTTATGTACTT